GTTAAACTAACTCATCAGGTTTTACAGTGTACTTTGAATACACAGATTTGAAAAATCTGTCACAGAGGCCGAAATGAGTGTACTTATTTCTGTCTGTCTGTTTGTCTCACTTGCTCTGTTGCATGCAAACAAACACGCACACACACACACCTGTATCACCGCCCCCTCTCTCCTCTCCCCAGTTCACACAGCTGGCTTGGCAACGCAATGCGAACCCAGAGAGACTGAGCCAGAGAGTTCTGCAGATCAGGAATGTGTCCGTGTATGTGTGTGAATTTCTGCATCTATGCATACAAACATGTTTGTGTCGTCTTGTTTTTGTCTGTGTGTGTGTTTGTGATGGATGTGTGATAGTGTGTGTGTGTGTGTGTGTGTGTGTGTGGCAGGATATGAGTGATAGCCCTACGACGGATGGAGCACTAAAATATGAATCATCAGCAGACAGTTTGGCTGTCTGTCTCAAAGCCTCCTGGGATCTCGAAGCTCTCAGGAGCAGAATCCTGATTGCAGAACTCCTCAATCAACTCCCACGTAATGGTGGTGTCTGTTCTATAATGTTCCCGATCTAGCAGCCATAATGGAGAGGTCATAGGTCTGATATACAGTGTCAAAGCAACACGGTTGAATGATCGAGACAGATGAAACAGGCATGCAGACAGACATCCCTAACATGAATCATTACAGATTTTTCAAGGAGTAATTAATCTCCCGGAATCAGTGATGGATGAGAGCAGACGGAGAAAACATTAAGTGAAACTCAAGGTGATGCACGCTGAGACACGCTCAGTGAAAACCAAACAGGTGGAATTCTTTTGTTGTTGTTGTCATATGTCAAAAGTTGTCATACAACATTGGAAATGTGAACATCTGACAGAAACTGCATGTTAAATCTGATACAGTACATTTAAAGGTCCTGTGTGTGACATTCAGGAGGATCTATTGGTTGTCTTATATTCATAGGTATGTTTTCATTAGTGTAAAATCACCTGAAAATAAGAATTATTATGTTTTGTTTACCTTAAAATGAGCTGTTTTTATCTACAGTGGGAGCGGTGGCAGAGTCCGCCATGTTAAAACCAAACACTTGCTCTAAATAGGGGCTGTTGTGCACTATATACGACACACTGGTCCTTTAACAGCTCTGGTTACATTTGTTGTCAGTTCATCCAAATAACAAGAAACAAACAAACAAAAAAAAGAAAAAAAGACATATTTGTATTGTTTGTTTTGAAGTATCAATGCACTTCTGGGTTCTGGGTTGCAATGCTAGCAGCTCTTTGTGTCAGCACAGTGAGCTTAATGCTAACATCCAGTGGTGCAGTGCAGGGTTATACGCAGGTAAATGGAGCATACCCACTTCTAAATCCCCTCCTGATGTGCATCTTTCAGTAGTGTTCTGCAAGCTCCATATTTTTCCTAAGATGGCGAAGGACAGAATAAGGAATACTTCACAAAAGGTGTATAATTATGTAGTTGTCTCACCCGTCTGTGGTTCAGTATTGATTATAAATCTGCACCTCTTCTGTGGCTAATGTTAATTTCATGTGCAAATATTACTGGCCCTATTTTTTCGCTATAAACGTTTTAAAAAAGAAATAGGGGCATAAATTAGTATACCTACTTCTCCAAGCACCACAGCTAACATTAGCATGCTAACATGCTCACTAGTGTTGTACATTTGTTGAACATAGTTTCATTAGAAGTTGCCATAACTCAAAAAGACTGATGCAAACTGTAGAGTGCACTGTACTGAGTGGATGGATACCTCAAAACCTAAAGAAATCAAACCGAAACCATCTATAAGGGCACATAGCATGAAGTTAGTAAGAAAATATGTTTCTTTTCATCAATTGAGTGAACTGACCCTTTAACATGTGCATGTACAGCAGACTAGAGATGTGAACGAGTTCTTCGAGGCTGCAGTTGCTCACAGACAAACAGTCTCATCATCCGTGTCCCACTATCTTATGACTAATCTGTACCAGATCTCCAAACTAATCTCTTAAATGCCTGAGGATCAACAAGACGGGCTCTTTAAGATGGACGTGATGACACGAAAACATACCTGACGCGATGGAACGCCAGTAAAACTACCCAGCGCCGTTCCACGGGCTTCCTGCTGCGGGCTTCAGAACAATAACACTGAGGAGGAGGAGGAGGAGGAGGAAACAATTCTCAGCAAACACAATTACAGCTGCACAAGCTTAACAGGCATGCTATTAAGTATATCTTCCAGACAACAAAGGCAAAACACAGAGTTGTCTTAGTTTTTTTTATGAGAACTAAAAAAAACAAGAAACATCACGCATGAGTTCCTGGCAATCTGTGGTAATCACCACGGAGAGCTGGTGGACCATCAACGATACAATCAGCCACTTAAAGACACACAGTCGGCTCTGTGCAGCTCCGAAAACCGGCTCTCATTGTGCTCTGATTTCTGTTTTGGCAGAGCTGCTTTTGGTAACCGTACGAGGAGGGAACCATCAACAGTTCTTTCTCCTCGGCCTGCTGGGATGACTGCTGTCTGCTCAGGTCTGCTGTGTGTGTGTTTGTGTGTGTGTGTGTGTGTGTGTGTGTGCGCGTACACTCATTTAGTAACTGGTGGATGCACAGTGTTCCCACCCATCTCCACCCAGTCCTGAAATACACCCAGCAGGATAGTTACAGACACACAAAGACACTACACACAGGCCTGAAGAAAAATAACTGCAGTAATCCTTTAATTATCCTTTTAGTGACTAAATACTTTATATGGACCAACGAAACTGCTCCACAAAGGCAGCTGATGGTTTTCTTAAAGGTGATGTACAATGAACCCAAACAGTGAACTCAGTAACTGCACAAAGTTTGTGTAAAACAAGAGATTTTATTCATAATTTCTATCAATTTTACAGACTTAATACGCTTCTTTTTTGACAAATTCAGTGTTTCTTGTCCCTGATGTTCAGCAAATGTTGATTTTCATCACAGAAGTGAACCAAATGCTGAGATATCCACTACTGCTGTGTATATTTTTAAAGTTTTCTTCCGCGCCTTAAAATCAAGAAGGCCTTGCAACCCCCTGTGAAGCTTTGGCGACCCCTAGTGCGGAGAACCACTGCACTAGAGCACCAGCAACTCAGACCAAAACAAACAGAGCTACTGCCCACCAGACTCCATTGACAAAAACACTAATTTAACCTCCCAGTTCATCGTAACATGGTAACTTCATAAAAAAGTGGAGAGAAACAAAGTAAAACTCACCAAAACCATCTTTGTTTTTCTTTCCAACAATCACCAACTCTGGTTTGGTCTAAATAAATCTTTAATTTATCAAGTTAGATCAGAAAATGTATGCAAAACAGGCTTTAATGTAATCTTTAGGGACACATGCTCCCCGTCAAAGTGCGTCCACTAACAGTAGTTGTTTGTTCCACTGACAGTAGTTGTTTGTTCCACT